TTTGCTAAGTTCTGTGTGCCTTTCATTATTAAATACTGTACTCTGAAAATTACATCCTTTATCCCTTCAGAAGTAGTCAAATTCTAGCTAATTGTCCTTAGTCTAAAATAGTTTTTTTTCTATGTACTGTGTTAAGGTCATCAGTATTACATGGTGTTTCACACAGATGATCACAGTGCTTACCATGTACTTTGTTTTATGACTTTGTAAAACAAGCCCTCAAAAGCACAGTTTTTACTATTAATTTTTCCAAAGAGAACTGAAGCTTGGTAAATTTACTTGCCTGGGGTGGTAGCCAGATAATAATGTTCTAAGTACATAAACTCAGGCAATCTGAGTGCAGACTCAATTACAGGTTATGTCATATCTTGTTTTATATTTTTTCTTAAAATGTAGGCTCTAAGAGAAAATGAAATGTGTTCTGTACACTGTTGTAGTACTGCTAACTTGATCTGGGCTTGGACTGAGGGGAACAAGAAGAGCTGTTAGTTTGTTCCTGCTTCTATGACAAAATACCATGGATTACACTTTCTATGAATAATAGAAATTTAATTTCTCAGGATTATGCATGCTGGGAAGTTCAAAGTCAACATGCCAGAAGATTCAACATCTAGGGAAGTCGTTCTCTTTCCTTCCAAGGTGGCACCTTCTCACTGTATCTGACAGGGTAGAAAGCGAAGAGAGAGAAATGCTGTTCTCTCATGTGATAGAAAAGATGGAAGGGCCCAGCAGGTCTCTGGACCTCTGTCATTTTAAAAATCTTTATCTGTTTATTTATTTTAATTTCTTATACTGGTACTTTATTGAAGTAAAAGCACACTAAGTCAAACCACTTACAGAAATACATGTGTCATACCAAGAAAACATTTCAGTTAATGCTTATAATGCCAAATGCTTTCCATTTTTCAAAGACAGTTTTAATGCCACAGAAATATTGTTTATGACTTTAAAATGAAAAAATTAAGGTACAGTACCATATCAAAGGGCATTAATCTCTTTCACCAGGTTATATCTCTCATAATTTAATCTTGTCTCAAAAGGCTCCATCTCCCATAGCACTCATACAAAGGGTATTTAGTTTCATCATGAATTTTTTGAAGGGCCCATACATTCAAATATAGCCATTGTCTTTTCCCTCTCCTTATTCTGAGTGGTAGAAGCCATTTCCTTCCATGCTCAAGGTCTGAGTACATCCCAACTTTTAGGATTTCAAGCCAAACTAGGTAGGACTTTGAGAAGGAATATGAAGAATTCCTTCTTGCCAGTGCCAGCCTTCTGTCTTAGGATGTGCACTGGACACCAGTTTGGTTGCAGAAATAGCCCTGAAGGAAAAATAAATCATTTCATGTGAACTAGCGATTCAACTCCTAATGTGTAAAAATGACAGTTTTCTTAGTTCTCTACCCCTTTAATGTTCCTGTTCTATTACAAAGGTTTATGTGATATAAGTTTTTGGGAAACTTAGTCATCCACTCAGTAACCTTTACATCCCATTAACATTTCCCTTGATTCTAGAATTTTGAAGAATTTTTTTGTTAATGTGAAAGAGTTTTGAAAAAGACAAATAGCAGTGCTCCAAGCTCAAGAAATAAAGAATAACATTATAATCATAACATCTCATTATTTGTTTTAAAGCTTGATCTTTCCAAAGGTTATTATCTGAAGTTGAATACTAATAAATTCAGGCTTTCTTTCTGCAGAAGAAATCTTAAGCAATGGTGTTCATAGAGAAGGACATTAATCAAGAGAAAGAAGTAAGCTTTGTTCCTAATAATGTTTGCATAATAGATACCCTTGGGTATATTGCTTGACTTAAAAATAAATATTCATGTTTTCCATATTCACTGCAGTGGAAATTATTTATGGTTATGATTCTGTTACATGATTCTCTACCTATTCATGGGGACTTTAAGCTGGGAGGCTTTTGGAAACCAACAAACATAAACAACAATGCTTGTGAACGATATGGAGGTTGAAAGAGGCTCTATTGTGGGCAGTCCGCTGGTGAGAAACCAAGAACAGATCATTACGGTGTTTTCAGAAGGGGAGGAGCAGAACAGAACTGGTCTGCCGAAGGGCACTTATATGCTCCTGTAATCTGCTTTTACATCCTCAGTGGCTTCTCACTGCGACTGCTCCCCACCTGCCATGTGAGGGGGCAATATAGCGCTCTTGGCAGGCTCTTGAAGGCACAGTGACTTTTCACTTGCCTTTCTTTGTTCAGAGACTTCCTTCGTCTTACAAGGGTTTCCAGAGCTGTTCTCACAATTAATTTCATTTCTGATGAATAAGCTGGCTTCAGCTCCACCTCTTCTAAGGAGCCTTCTCTCAATTGCACGTCTGGCCATTAAATTTTAACCCAGCTTCTCTTCTTGACTGATAGATTGAGATTCTTAGTAGACTTCCCCTTGGAGAATTCTGTCATCATCTTGATTTATTGGTTATGTGCACCAAATTTTATTACACAAGTACTTTAAAGTCATTCACTCATTTTTCTTTTCTCTCTCATTTCTTTCTTTCTTGGTCCCTCTTAATTTGAGCCTTTAAATTCTGAGGAAAGTTTCAATATGTTCTTGAAAACAGTCAAGGTGAAGTTTTGAACTTCTGTGTATGAGTTGCAGGCTTTGCATTAATTTTTCTCACATGCAAATTTCCTAACCTTATTTCTTTCACAAGATGGCTATTCTACTGAAGCTAAGAGAAAGTCCTATAGGATCAAAGAACAAACTGATATGTTCCCCTGGACCTATGATTGCTAATGTTTTCCCCAGACTTTCCTTCCCTGTGCTCTTGTGTTGGATATACGTCATGAAGTTAAACATCCTGGGCTCCTTTAGCTGTGGCTTTCATCCAATGGGATCTGTGTTAACAGAGATGTATCTTTCCAACTTCAAATGCCAAGTTCAGCCTTCCTGCTTCTTCTGAAGCATCCATATACCCTTTCCATGTACTTACATGTAGTCATGGTAGTACTGAAAAATATTCCTCTGTTTCTATAACGTATTCATTTATAAAGCACTTTTTAATATTTGATCCTCACTACAGAGATGAGCAATAAAGCAGTTATTCTCATTTGCTAGTGAGAAACTGACTAAAAACATGGAATAACTTCTTAAATTATCTGTCCTGTAAATTACAGTTAGAATTAGACCCCAGTATATCACTTCTATTACATTGCAAACCTGAAAACAGTGTAGTCTGTCACTTTCTGCAGACCTTACCAAGCCCCAGAAAACTCTGTACACCGGGCATACGGCAGCACTGAAAAAGCCTGGGGTAGACACAGGGAACTGCTTTGAAGTGTGACAGGGCTGCTACTGGCTGCTATGGAAGAGTCACTTCACTCCAAACTCAATGTCCTTGCATGCAAAACAAAGACGGAAACAGTATTTTATTGGGTTCTTTTGATGCATGACATCTTATTAATTCCTTTTCTGTTGTTCACATCCATCTTCCCTTCCAGTTTTTTTTTTCTCTTTTCTTTCTTTTCAGCCAGCTCTGCAACTCCTTAATTAGCTTCTGCACTATGCACAACACTGTTCCAGGATTAACAGGGAGAAGAGTAGAATGTAGAGTGTAATCATTATATCGCCTGTGGAGAGGAACCTTTCCTCCTCCCTTTCCTAATCTCCATTTTTATCCATTTTTCTCCCTCCATGTTCAGGTAGCCTTCCTCATCAACATAGGTTCTCAGAGTGCCTGCTTTGTCTGAGGGCTCAGTCCTGTACCCCTGAGTATGTTTACCCAGCCATCACCCTTTCCATGTGCCCACGTAGGACTCCAGTGTTCAAGGGAAAATCCTCAGGACTGTGTTTAGTGATAGCCCAGGACTCTCTGTACTCTGATACATGCTGCTATGCTTCTGGGTAACTCTACATGAGAAGAGATCCAATGAAGAAAGATAAAATTTCAATTTATGAAATAAATTTACATTATTTTTCTTCTAAAATTGTGTGCATTTAAAGCCTGAAAAACCTATTTATGAGTAATTTCAGAATCGAGACATTTATTTTTCTAAAAGAACCATTTTCACTCTGATACAGAGAATTCTCTTTAAGATCCATACTCATCATCAGTCATGCATACACTTGTCCCCTTTGTCAGTCATATTTTCTTCTACATCTCATATGACTTGCATGTCATTAGACACTTCTGTCCTTACACGAGAACATATTACACATAGCTTAAGTTATCTAAGGCTTTCAGGCTTCTTTCAGTAGCAGTTATCTGTGAACTGAATATAAAACACATGGTTATTCTCTCTAGAACACAATTAAAATAGACTTGTTTCCTCTTTATTGTCTCTAGTCCTTTTTTTTTTTTTTTGTACTGGGGATCAAACTCAGGACCTTGAACTTGCAAGGCAGGCAGTGGAACCACTGAGCTAAATTCCCAGCCCTCTAGTCCTTTTAATATCCATAGTAGTAAGTATTTATTTATCACTGCAAAACACACTGTCAAAAGGAGTGGCGATTCTTAAACTCCAAGAAAGCAGAAAGAACTGGAAAGAAAAGAGCAGCCACCATCATGATTAGACACTCATTTTTCATCATTGACTGGATTAGGGGCATTCATTGGAGTTCAAGAATACTTTGGCCCCTCTATATGCTTTAGACTTTCTGTTTTACAGTTGTGGAAACTGAGGCTCAAGGAGTCAAGTGATTTACCTAATGTTCCATAGCTTTTAAGTGTCAGAGCTAAGAATTGGATCCAATTTGTGTGACTCAAAATTTCCGGTTACTTTTCCTATACCAGACAGGGGTGGGGATGTAGTGATCTCAGAAAGGATTAGCATAATTTATCGGGTTGGTGTCTGGGTAGGCAATGACTAAAGAGGAGCTTTTGTCTGTTTGACCAAGATTCAACCTTTAGCATGCCTCCCCTTCCCTGGTTTCTTTCCTAAACATAGACTACATCTCTAAAATTTGGATCCAGCCTTTTGTAACATTTTAATGAGAGGGTCTTCAACTAATGGGACATCTCTCTTTTGTCTTTCACAGCAATTTTGCAGGCAGTAATAGCTGGTGATCTTATGAAGGTAAGATATTCTCCTACCAAAATTTTGGTGATTCTTTAGGAATTTTAGAACAACAACATGTCTCACCAAATATTCAAGATCCCCTGTATCACTTATCTTCTCCCGTCCTGCACTTGCTGGGTAGAAGGATAAAGGAAGCTGTTTGGAGAAGTGAGCAGAGGGAGTAAGGGGAGCTCTCACAGCATCTCTGCATTTACTACCATCAGAGGGGTTGTGGAAGGACGCCCGCGACTTGCCTGGCTTAGTTAAAATGGAGCGCACGTTCCCAGGATTTCCAGTGCCCAGAATTCCTGCTCTCTAGGAGCTAATACCTAAGGAATTGAAAGATTTTTTTTTTTGGCAGATATTGGAATGAGTGCACCTGTAAGAATCACCTGAACCATACGCAGAAATGCATTCTCCAGGCCAGAACTCACAACTGCCGATATTTTAGTGTTATAATTTGGGGATCATAATTAACCCAAAGAAGACTATTTGGTTCACTTTGAACATTTAAATTTTTGGTTATATTTCCTGGCTAATTTAGTTGAGGGAAATGGTCATGACTGTCTTGAGAGTAAATGCAAATTCTGAAATCAGACTGCTTGATTCAGATCTTGGCTTTGCCATTCATAATATATATGATTTCATCTAATTAATTAATTATCTCTGTGCCTCAGTTTCTTCATCTCTAAAATGGGAAGATGATGGTGGTGATAATAATAATGTTACCTGTTTTCTCTGATTTGTCATAAGTCTTTAATGTAATCGTACATTAAAGCTGTTAAAATTGTTTCAATACATGGAAGGGGCTTAAAATGTTAGTTGTACTATTTATATTATAGTGTCAATCTGTGTATTATAACAACTAACCATGGTTGGGATAAGAATACGTTTCTATAAAATAGTCTGAGCATTCCAAAATGTCTGCCTGACTCATATCATTTTCAGGCATGGGGTCTCATGACTCCATCTGTCCTTGTATGACCTTAGTGACCTCGATCTGCCCCTTGATAATGACAACTGCCACAGGGTGTGTGTCACCCATCCGCATATGCAGCAAGGTGACACTGCATACCAAAACACCAAAAGCCTTAGAAGAAAGCCAAGAAATGCTATCATCAGCATTTTTAAAGCTCACCACTTGGACAAAACAGGGTGTACCTGTGCTGCGTTTCAGATGGGTAGAAAGTAGATCTAGAGGCGATGACAAACATGCTGATCAGCTTGCATCTGTAGGCACTGGAGATCACAGCGTCATGGAGAACTTTTATCAGAATAGGGATGCGTTTCCTCAGCTTTGCTGTTCCCCAGCAGTGAGGAGCAATGCCGTGCTACTCTGAAGGGCTTGTGTTAGGTCTGTGGAAATACATACGTGCCTCCTTCTCTGAGAACATTAAAAGAAGAAAACGTTGCCAAGCACTGGACAATTGAAACCTTTGCATTTTATTTTCTATCTCTCTTTAATGTAGGCAACCAATCTCCAGGGTACCCGATTGTATCACCATACTTTTCTTACAGTTAACATGTAATTATTTGAAATATTGCATTCTATGCTATAGTTATTTCTTTGTTTTCAGGGTGTTTTTTGTTTTGTTTTGTTTTGCTTTGCTTTTGATACCAGGGATCAAACTCAGGTTCTTGTGCTTGCGAGGCAGGCAGCAGAACCACTGAGCTAAACCCCTGGCCCGTATTTCGTAAATGTCTAAGAAGTGGCGTAATAACTCTTTACCTATGGAGAGATAAAAAACGGGGGCAGAGAAGTTTTCTTTTTCAGGCACCTCCCTTTCTTTTGTAAAACTTGTCTTTTCCTTCCTAAGTATCTCTGCCCCCCTCTCATCTTTTCTTTCATTTCTCTCTATAAAGCATAATGCAGTAAGTATTAAAGAGATGGTTTGTGTAATAGTGAAAGAGAGGGAGAGAAAAGAGGGGGAGGAGGGAGAGGCAGAGGTGGAGAGGGAGAGGGGAAAAGAGGAGGGGAAGAGAGGGAGGGAGAGAGAGAAAGAGGGAAGGGGGGGAGAGAGAGAGAGAGAGAGAGAGAGAGAATGTGAATCTATAGAGCTAGAGACTAGAGAAGAGCAGATCCTGGAACCACCCATTATGGGGCTGGCACAAAGGGCCCTGTGCAGGTGGACTGCATGGCTGCTTAGGTGCCGTGGACTAGCTTCATGTTCACAGCAGCTGAAAACCTCCCAGAAAGCCAGGGCCAAGCCAGCCAACCCTGACTGGGCCTGGCTAAGTCTCCTCTCCCATCTTTCCTGGACCTGCCCAAGGAGAAAGAGAATCATGTGAGAATATGCCCTTGAACAGGACAGGATTCTCCTCTGCATCTTTGTGAAAGGCTGTTAGCTACTTCTTCCTGTCGTCTTGCCCACGGTCTAGGAATAAAAATCGTCACAAGCTCCTTACCTCCATTCACCTCCTCTTCTTGATTTATCTCTAGGCAGTCTTCCATGCCTTTGCGAGACTGGCTTCCTGCCTGCCTTACGCTCCTCTGATAGCCTCACAGTGCCCTGGGTGTTACGGTGATTGCTTACACCCCTTCTTTCCTGTTGACTACGAGGCCTTTGTGTGACTGAGATTGAGTCATATTTATCTTTATTTCTGCATTTAATTTGCTTATGGTCTGCTAGGTTATTTGACTTTTATTTGTCCTTTTACTACCATTTAAAAGCTTCACAAAGCCTTTTCTTGTCTTAATGTTCCACAGTATAGAGAACAGGGTCCCTTTTACACTTTCTATAGTGTTCAACATTTCATGGACTCCAGACTGCATCCTCATTTAGCCACCTTCCTCTCAAGCTGCCAGATTCTGCTCTCCTCCCTTCTTTTTCCTCAAATAGAAACAACTACATTCTTCCCACCATTTTGTTTCTCAACCTACATATCATCTCTTCCATTGGAAAACACCAGGCCAGGATGCAGAAATGACGGATGAAGAAGGGGCCACATATATGTGTGTGCATATGTATGTTCTTATGTGCAGAAAAATGAGAAACAGCTCTTAAATTTGGTTGTTAGGTTCATTAGAAATCAAAGAGCAACTAAAGAACACACAAAAGCAGCTTACCTACCAGACACAAAGTCTTCCTGTCCATAGCCGTAATTATTCTCTCACTGGATAGTCCTGAAGCAACCTAGGAAAGTTTTTGTTCCCTCCTCTGCCTCTCTGTCCCTTGTGGTGAAGATCAGTGCTCAGAGACAAAAGAAAAGAGCAATTCAGCATGCTTCAGTTTCCTCGGACCACTTACTACCCACAAACTCTCCAGAGCTAGTGAGACAGCGACCATCTATGTGAGTTATAGTGCAGTCTGGGAATGGTGTTTCATCTCTGACTTGTCTCCATGTCCTCTGAGGATAGAAACATTTGTGGTTTGTTACATTTCTCTTATTTTATGACCCAGTAGCTGTTACCTTTGTTCTGGATTCTGCCTGCCTGAGCATCTTTCTGTATGTGTCTCTTTCAGCTAATAGAAAGCTATAAAAATGGAGGCAGTCTGCTAATTCAGGGACCAGACCACTGTTCACTCCTTCACTACGCAGCTAAAACTGGCAACGGGGAGATTGTGAAATATATCCTTGACCACGGTGAGTAGGCACAATTGACTTACCAATGGCCACTTATCCATGAAACGAATGGCATTATCCAAGTTGACATGCATGCAGGCTGTCTTCTGAATGTCAGAAGTATTCACCTATTTTTAGCTGACTCCTCCTGCTTATTCAAAGCATCTGGGTTTGCAGACCATTGACAGTGTGGCATCTTACCCAAGCAGTTAATGGAAGACATATTTACATTCTGCTTTGTATAGGCAATTGGAGGGTCAATTAATTTAAACCATAAAACACAAAATCAAATTCAGCCTGACAAAATGTGCTTTATTTTTGTAGATTTTTTTGCAAATTAAATCATCTAACTATTCCATATTTGCATTTGATCATTTTGAGAACTTATGAGTATGTTTTTTTTCTCCATCATACTTATCTCTCAGTTTTGCTGTTTGATTGTCACTCATCTTTCCCACTCAAATCACACTTGATTCTCTTTGAAAATGCCTGTGCGGCAGGCCACACTCTCCTCCCAGAATGTTCCCTAACTACCTTTCTGATTTCAGGTTAGATCATTTGTTTGGATGTAGCAAGCACACAAGTGCTACAACATCTGCTTCTAAAATGCAACAGAGACCAAATCTTGCATATTACCTTTGGCTTCTCATGTTTAGAGTGTTTCTAGGAGTAAAAAAAGAAAAAAAAAACAAACAGGCAAAAGAGGCAGTTGTGTCTGGCTTGGCTGTTTTATAAGGGGAGAGGAGAGGAA